AATTTTTCCAAGCAACAAAGATGTAACAGGCATCTCAAAAAGAGCAAGAGAGCGCACGCAAGGCTGAGCCTGTATTGAAATTGAGAGCGCACCAGCCCCAGCTAAAACAACAACAAAACTGTTGTATACAAATTTATTGCGCCTATTGACTGATGTTAATTTTAATTAAATACGCAAATGGGAAAGGACAGCATTCATTTGACATTACATTTTTATACTTAGCCAGAGCTTGAAAAATACGAAAAAAACCACTTTGCGTTGTAAACGAAAATTTCATTCATATATTTTATCAAGGCTACAGGCGCTTTGGTATCTCGCTCTCTCTCTCTCTCTCCCTGTGTCTTGGTTTGCGTGGAGCACTCGCTCTCTTAGACTCTCACTTGCTGCTTGCTATGAGAGCGTCGCTTGCGCATATACAAAAAAAGGTAACACACACACAGGCACGCAGAAAGTGAGGTAGAACATTTTTTGGGCGATTTCTCCATGTATACACATAGTATATATAAATACATACATAGATGTATATATATATTTTTTATTGCCTATCCTGCAGCTTTTGACATACATATATTATATTCACATTCAAGTATATCACTTGGAATAACATAACAAATACTTAGTTTATAGCTTCTTATATTGTTAACAATTTATTTATTTCATTTGACTTTATTACTTTTTTCCTTTTCCTTTCTTTTTTTGCACTATGAATTTAGGTTAGTATATGTTGGATTTTTGACTTAGCACAGACATAACGACCGTGAAGGAGGTGGCAGGTGCGGGCGCGGATGCGTGCGGAGCAAGGAGGGAGACGTGGTGTATCGGAATTTTTCTCTATTGGATAACAGCTTTTCGCATTTTATGCCGTTTATCACGTTTTTGCAATGGCACACACATTATACCAATTATTTGTGGCAATTTATTCTATTCTTCGCACTTTTTACAACCTGTCTCTTTGGAGACAAAAGCAATTCTGATCTCAGGTGGCAACTGCGTATGGTATTGAAACTTTGCATTTGCGTTTCGCTTTGCTATATTATAAAACTTTTTATGATTATAATCAGTTCACTTAAATTAAGTGCTTCCTTTTTGTCTTCATTTTTATTACTTTTATGCAGATTTTACACCTACAACTTCTCCATTTGGAAAAAAAAGAATGAATTTCCAAACAGATATGTTACTTAACATAACTTGTACAATAACATCACATTTTCCAAACTGTTAATAACAGCGACGCAAATTTAATCCAAAACTTATCGACATAAATTTGTAAAACTACAGAGGTCCAAAGCTCCAACAGCAAGACTATGCATTATAGTTTATGGTCCAAAAAGCGTTGTAAAATATAAGCTCCAAAGACATCTTAAAATGCTGTAAAATTACATCAATGTTAAGTATATCGATATTTATACTTCTAACGCTTTATGTTGAGTTATCAATTTATTTATTTATTATTTTGATCTTATTAATTTAGTTAAAATAGGCGGTTTAAATTTTTTTGGATGGCATTAATATAATTACATTTATTTATTTGCTGTATTTCATATGTCCACAATTGCTTGAAAGCAACTTTTTCGATTTCGATTAAATATTTATTATGTTTTCACTGTTAATGTTCAGTGCGGTACAAAAACGTATCGGTATTTTGACATACATGTTACAAGTAGCAGGTAAAAGTAAATATCGCTCATATCTAGCATTAACATTTCCTTTTTTATGTGCGTGTGTGTGTTTGATGACTGCGGGAAATCGGCTGCCGTATATAATTCGCAAATAAAACGCTGAAAATGGCTAAAAAGAAAAGTGAAGAGCATTCAGGAGCCGACGCAAATGATAGCGACTACAATGAGGAGCCTAATTTCGATGATCCGCCCAATTTCGTGGATAACATCAGCGATGAGGGTAAGTTTGATTGTTGCCAGCGCAGCACACGCGCTACTAACCACCGCCGACAATTGCAAAAAGCAAACATAACCTCAATGTGTGCGTTATTTTATATGAGAAATGCAATAATGTTCGTTTCATTGCAGATTTGCTTGGTGATATGCTAGCCCAACGGCCATCCGAAGCCGATGGTGTCGAAAGCGTCGTTGTAGTTGACAATATGCCGAAAGTGGAGCCGAGCCGCCTCGAAAAACTAAAATCGGTTATCAACAAGCTGTTCTCTCAGTGCGGTGAAATCGTCAACGTTGTTTATCCAGTGGATGAGGAGGGCAAAACCAAAGGCTATGCATTCATGGAATATAAGACCGCCAGTCAGGCCGAGGATGCGGTGAAGAAACTAAACAACCATCGTTTGGACAAGAATTATACTTTTGCTGTTAATTTATTTACAGACTTCCAAAAGTAAGTTTTTAAATAACAAATTAAAAACAGATATGCAAAAATATATAACTAATTTTCTTTCTAGGTATGAAAATATACCCGAGAAGTGGGAGCCGCCAACTGTACAACCTTTTAAAGTACAGAGTGATCTGTATAATTTTATAAATGATCCTGATGCTTACGATCAATACTGTGTGGCGGCAGAGACAGCACCAAATTGCGTGCAGGTTGGCTTTTGGCAGAACACTCTTCCGGAGCCCAATGAATTGGAGACACGTGAACGTTTTACTGACACGTTTGTGAAGTGGTCACCGTTGGGCACCTACGTGGTTACCTTCCACAAGCCGGGAGTCGCCATTTGGGGTGGCAGCAGCTTCCAGAAAATTCAAAAGTTTCCACATCCGGGCACCCAATTCGTCGAATTCTCGCCTTGTGAGAATTATTTAGTTACATATGGACCAACACCAACTGGGCAAAAGATTATCATTTGGGACATACGTACCGGTGCTGAGAAACGTTCATTTGTCGGCGATGGAATGTCAGTTTTGTCAATGTTCCGCTGGTCGCACGATGACAAATTTGTTGCTCGTATGGGTGAAAACTCGGTTCACATCTACGAGACACCATCCTTTTATTTGCTTGACTTAAAGTCCATCAAAATTTCGGGCATACGCGGCTTCTCGTGGTCGCCAACGGACAATATAATTGCATACTGGGTGGAAGAACAGAATCAAATACCCGCACGTGTCACATTAATGGAGATTCCCAAGAAGCGGGAGATTCGCAACAAGAACCTGTTCCATGTAGCCGACTGTAAGCTACATTGGCAAAAGTCTGGCGATTATCTATGTGTTAAGGTTGATCGCTACTCCAAGCTTAAGAAGGACAAGAAGGAGCTGGACGTAAAGTTTCTGGGCATGTTTTACAATTTTGAAATATTCCACATGCGCGAAAAGGAAATACCCGTTGATTCGGTGGAGATACGTGAGCTAATTCTTGCTTTTGCCTGGGAGCCAATAGGTAACAAGTTTTCCATTATACATGGCGAGCCCAACTCCTCCAATGTTAGTTTCTACGAGGTCAACAAGGGTGTAAAGCCAAGTCTGGTTAAGCGCCTGGAGAAGAAGTCCTGCACTCACCTGTTTTGGTCGCCACGTGGCCAATTCATAGTTATGGCCAATCTGACTATGGGCACATTTGAATTTGTTGATACAACCAATGATTACATCATCAGCGCATCACCGGATCATTTCCGTGCATCGGAGGTAGAATGGGATCCAACTGGTCGTTACGTCGTCACTGGCGTCTCATCCTGGAAAGTCAAAGAGGACACAGGCTTCAATATGTACACCTTTCAAGGTCGCATAATCAAACGCACCATTTTGAAGAACTTTGTGCAGTTCCTTTGGCGCCCGCGACCACCCACGCTACTTGGCGAGGAGAAGCAAAAGGAGATTAAGAAGAACTTGAAGAAGTACTATCCTATATTTGAGCAGAAGGATCGTCTTCGCTTGACCCGTGCCTCCAAGGAGCTGCTCGAGAAACGATCGCAGCTGCGCGAGACCTTCATGGAATATCGCAACAAGCGCATTGCGGAATGGAAGGATCAAAAGAGCCGTCGCGTCATGCTCAGAGGGCGTAAGTTGCACTTAGTTAATAATCAACTTAAATGCTTCATCAAAGATTTAAATTTTACAGATGTGGATACGGATAATTTGGAAACGGATGAAGTTGATGAGGAAGTTGTTGAATTTTTAGTCAAGGAAGAAATAACCCTGCTAGAGTAAACGACCCCCAACACTCTCACGTCCACGTCCCCCCGTTTTCACAATTTTTTAAAGCTGGTGGCTTAAGGCTTGACACGCAACGTGAAGACGTCCCGGAACCTCCATTTGTCGGGACGCCATTTCTTCAAAACACGTAGCGCATCTTTAATATTACAAATAAGCGTAATCATATTAACTAGCTTGCGTTACATACATATGCACACAGATAACATATATTCAAATATCCATACAAATTCGAACCCTAAGCACAAAAGTAACGTCACATCAATTAATATAAACTAAATTCAAGCTCACGAACAACTGTAACTTGATAAAAAACAAACGAAAACATGACCGAAGCCACATTATTAACCATTAGAAGTAAATTTGCATTGTATTTGTATGTGAACAGCAAAAAGAAAAGGAAAACGAAAAGGCATTTAACGTTTTAATGAGGGAGGGGGGTCAGAAACCCAAACTAAAATAAAAACCTAACTACCATTCGATTCAATTTGAACTATTCGGAAATTTGTTGTTTCAAGCTGCATTAAAAAAGTAAAAACTGAGAATATTCAAATTATATCTTATGTTCTTCATCCCTCTGCATCAAATACAAGGAACATAAATTTGTTGATTTATTATTGGACAAGTTTATATGCAGCTTTCTTATAAGATATGCCTTATATATTGCACATGCTTGGTATGATCAATTATTTTTCAAACCAGTAGTGAAAACAGTTCATTCACATAATTTATCGACTTGTTAAAATTGTAAAAAAAAATTATTTTAAGTTTTAATCAAAAACAATTTTAATTAATTAATTTGAATTTGAAATTATATTGTTGGTAATTATGTATATTTCAAATTATCGATGCGATACTTTCTTATATGAAATATCGATAGTCGATATCATTTGGTTACTTTGGCAACTGTGCCACCCTGTGCAAAATCCAAACAAACGGTTATTTTCTGTTGTCAAAACTTATTTGAGTCAAACCAAAAATCAAAATGGAACCCGAAACACATTCCATCAAAATCAAACGCAGCAAGAAAAAACATAAAACACAAACAACGCGCGCATATCGTAAGTCCGAAAGGGAAGTCCAGCAATTGCTGTCCCAAAGCGAAAAAGTCGCTGCACCTCAAACAGCTTCTGAGGATTTTGAAACGCGCAGCTTAAAGTTTTTCCACTATGCCGAACTGGCAGAATCTGCTGACACCACAACTTGTGAGAAGGAAAGCCCAAATAGAGGAACATCTCCGCGTTATTTAGCAGCTAGCTTCTTACAAATCGAACTGTCCGAGCCGCCAGTTGTGTCCGCCCAGCTTCACAGACAACGGCATCATTATGACGACACTTTGTTGTATGAGCCCAGCAGTCGGCTGCATCTGCCACTGCAGTTCATTGAATGCGAGCCGCAGCTGAAGCCCTGTCAGATACGTATGCTGAATCGCTATCAGGAGGAGGCCAGAGGCACTCAAAAATCCGGCAAACTAAATGCCGGGCTCCTCACACAACTCACAGACTGTGAATCGGGCCGTTTTATCATCGATGCCACACTTTATCGCAGCAATTGTCCGAAGATGTTTAAAAGCGTTTTTCTGGCACCTGTGCCGTTGGCTCAGTTCCAGGGACTGCCCATGAGCCGCTGCCTGAAATTGTGCCTCAAACAGCTGCGCTTCAGCGAACACCCGCAGCTGCTCGAAGAGCATCGGCTAGCGCAACAACTGGAAGATCTCTACGATCTATACATGTATAATGTAAAGAATCACATTTGTAGTAAGCTGCGGGAAGAGTTGCAAATAGCTCGCAATGTGGCTGCCCGATTGATCGATGCCAGCAAACAACAGCAGCAGCAGCAGCAGCAGCCGTCGCAGCTGGCGATGCACGTGCAACGCCAGTTGCATTTGACGCAGCAGCTGCGAAGGCGCTACTATGCCGAGTCCACGGCACAGCGTGTGCTGCTGCAGCGTCTGCTCGCACAGTGGGCCAAATTGAAGGAGTTGCGTAAACGGCAGCAGTTTCGCTGCACGCGCTTCAAGCTGAGCCTGCGCCTGGTGCCGCCAATTGACTTGGACGCCTCCTGCTCGCTCTGGAAGCAACGTTTCGAGGCGGATCTGGCTGAGGTGTATCGCGAGCACCTGGAGCTGTACTATCAGCGGCGTCGCATTTGGCACAGCAGCGAACAGTCCTCAGTGGCGCACACGAAACCGCCGCGCAAGCCGCAGTTCACGGAGATCATGGAGTCTCTTAAGTTGGAGTATGAGCGTGCCTTTCAGGATCCAGAGGAGCCGGAAGTGTTTGTGCAGCGTCTGTCCGCGGACGAGTCGGCGCCTGATGCCAACAGCTCACAGCACAAGGCGGCGGCGGCGACGGCAGCTAGCAATCAGCTGAACCTGGATCGCAGCTACTACTTAAAGATCTACTTGGACAGTCAGTTTGTGGCACAGTCGCGCACCTATCGCCTGGAGCCGGATCTGCATGTGGACGTGAATGAGACTATTGGCGTGCTGCTGAATCGCACCAATCCGGAGCAGCTAAACATTTGGGTAAGCTGCTCTCCAGTAGATCCGTGCATTTGTCCGTCCGAGTTAGAGAAATGTGCTTGTGCTAATAGCTCACTGAGAAGAACTGGGAATGGTCTCGGACGCCAGTCTGTCCGCCTGTCCGCCTGTCCTGCCTGCATGAACTCAGCGAACTCTTAAATTTATATAAAAGACCAAAAAAGCTGCTCTGCGCAGAGTACAGGGTATCTGCTAGTCGGGCAATTCCTTACGTGTTTATAAAGCAATAACGAAATATTCAATCAGAATAGGAAAAAGAGCGTTAAAGGCCACGCCCACTAAAAAGTATGTGCAGAGTCATCCGCAACTTCAAAGATTTTCTTTGGCTGATTGCACTCAATTATTATTTTGATTATATTTGTTGCTATTATTTTGCCATTGTTTAATTTTAGCTGTATGAGAAATCGGTGGTCACGTCGCATAGCCGCCGATTGGCGCTGATAAACGCTCCGCTGCAGGCGACGCAAAGGGGCAAGTCGGAGCAGAAATTGGGCTTCGAGGTGATGTCATCGGCGACAGCATTGCGCCCCAAGCTAGCTGGCGATCTCTACATGCACATTGATTACTATTGTCCTGATGGCGGCAGCAGCAATGAACTGGACGAGGTGCAGCTGTTGCCGCAGGCGCTGCGACAAACGTTGCTAGTCGCTGCTGGCAGACGCGGCAATGCCAGGCGTGCTGCCAAGTGGGCAGCTGGCAGCTCCACGCCGCTAATCTTCGCGGATCGTCAAATGCTGTTGTGCAGCATTGAGGAGCTCCTGCAGAATCGCCGCTTTCAGCTGCTCTACTCGCGCCACCAGCAGCGCAATTTTCATACCAAACAGCTGAGCTTTGTGCCCGCTTTGGAGCACGAAATTGTCGAACTGGAGGAGCATGGGCCCAATGAAAATGTTGGCCAACTGCTAGATCCGGGCACTGTGTGGGATCCGATCGATCTGCACAAGCATCGCGGACGCAAGTATTTGCAATTGCTATACGAAACCATAATTAGTCAGTGCGCCCAACGGGCCAAGCTGCTGCAAACCCCATTGCCGCTGCTCCAGCTATTGGGCGATGGCAGCCCAGAGCACGCCACAAGCTGGTCAACACTTTGGCGTGCGCTTTGCTCCATTTTTGTTGGCCAACCGGCCAGTCCAAGTCGTGAGCCCGCGTGGCAGCCACAGCCGACATGCGGCGCGGATCTGGTGCAACAGTTTAACGTCTCATTGCATGTGGTGCGTGCAACGGGTGTTCCAGTGCGCAGTCGCCACATTCTCAACGTCGAGCAGCACGGACGACGCCGCAGCAGCGCCGGCACCGGCAATGATCTTAGCGCCAGCCTGTTCGTTACGCAAAGTAAGTGAAGCCTGAATCCTGAATCCTGCATCCTGCATCCCCATGCATGCAATGGATCCAGCGCCCAAACCCTTTGACTTATTTGTGCCATCCAGGATTACATTGAAATTGGGAAATCAGGTATAATGGTTTTGTGCGAATGTATGTAGCAGGCAGAAGGAGGCGTGGCAGACGCCATAAAGTGTATATATTCTTGATCAGGATTACAAGCCGAGTCGATTGAGCCCTGTCTGTCCGTCTGTCCGTATGTGTGAACGCTTCGATCTTAGCTTCTATAGGAGCTAGAGACTTGTAGGTCCTTGTATAGCACGCGCATATTGAGTTTGTTTCAAATATTCGATAACTATTTACATTTAATTGTTATCGAATAAAAACATGATTGAAATGCAGTTAATAAATTATATCTTGGACGTCTGAAGATCAAGAGCCTCCAAATTGTATTTAGTTTTATGTATATTTTATGCAATTTTGATTTTTGTTAGATTTTTGATACCGACTCCAAATTTCCCCAAAATTTCATTCAAAAACGCAGATAGCACTGGGATCAGCGTATTTCCTAGTCAGGCACCCCGACTAGAGCTTTATTATTTGTTTAAAGAAACACGCGTCGTCTGCCGCCGTCGTTGCAGACAGAATCGCAATGTTCAACTGATCCTCCAGTTGATCCTCCAGATGATCCTCTAGCTGCTCCTCCAGCTGCTCCGCCAGCTACTTTTATTTCGAAGCAGTCGTCAACATCAATTTCTCCGATACTCCAGGCATCCCAGCCATGTTCATCTTGTATTATGTACGCACACTTGAGGGAGTCTTGGAGGTCGTCCGAAATTAGTTTGGAACAGTCCACATTGCATGGTTTATTAGTTCCCTTGTCAGAGTTGCACCAAAATTCTTCGCTAATTTGGAAAATTCCGTAGTGCCTAAAGCCATTTTGATCTGCACTACTTTTTGCGTGAGTTCGATAGTTACTTTTCGTCTGTGCGATATAAACCCATCTGGGTATATCCTGTCTGGAAATTTTCAGTCTATCCAATTCCAGGGCCAGGGTACAGCGATCAAATGTCCTATTTCCCTCAGCCCTGTCCACAAGAGCGAGCTGCAGCATTGCCAGCAAAGCGAGCCACTTGAGAATTCCCTCCTTCATTGTCCAATATTGGCCTAACACTAAAAGCTAATTGCGAAATTTCAAAGTTTTTTGGCACACTGAGAAGCAAGTATATAAATTCTATATATTCATATATATATGTATTTGCAGTCGCACCCAATCTCTCTCTTTGTCTTTTTCTCTTTCTTTTACTTCCATCTCGCTCTCCCTTTCTCTTTATCGCCTTAACATATCATTATTATTATTAATCAAATATATTTACTCTGATTGCACACATTAATTGTTTATATAAGGAAATATTTATTGCTGTTGTTATATATATATATAAATTATTTGATTATTTATTTAATTTTCGTAATACATATTTCGATTTTTGTTAGTTGAGATTCTTGAGATTTGAAAAGGTTATTTATTATTTAAAACATGCGTTTTCTGACGGCACTACAGACAGATACATCAACGATCGCTGTTGTAGCGGGTCTGCTATCCGTTCTTCCGGCTGAACCACCAGCTGCAGTTGCGTTTACATTTTCCGCTTGGGTTTCGAAGCAATCTTCAACGCTAACTACTCCTTCTTTCCAGGCAGACCAGCCCTGCTTCGTCAATATTATTTGCGCGCAGTCGAGGGAGGGTTGAATGTTGTCCGATAACAATTTGAAACAGTCCACCTTGCAGTGATTCTTAGTTCCCTTGGTAGACTTGCACCAATATTGTTCGCCAATTTGGAAAATTCCGTAGTGCCTAAAGCCTTCGATATCTGGATCACTTACTACGTGAGTTTGATAGCTACTTAGCTCCCGTGCGATATAAACCCATCTGGGCAATTCATCCCGCGGAATGTTCCGACTATGCAATTCCAGGGCCAGGCTGCAGCGATTAAACATTCTGTCTCCCTCAGCCACCTTAGCCACAAGAGCGAGCTGCAGCGATGCCAGCAAAGCGAACCACTTAAGAGTTTCGTCCTTCATCGTCAAGCCCAGTCTAAGTACTGAGAGGCAATTGGTCTTAAAATTTTAAATATGCGACTTTAATGCTTAATGCTATATGCTTATAATCAGCTTATGTATATAATTATATTATATATATAAAGCGACAAGCAGCAGTGAACGTGCCAATCGGCAAGATATGTATGCAATTCTTCAATGAATTAAAGGGAAGTGACTAAAGGAAAGTAATCTAGAAGCTCGGCAGTGCCCGACTACGAGATGCCCTGACCATCTAGCTCAATTAGCGATGGATGGAAGGGAGGAGGTGTTCAAATAGTAGAGTAGAGTCTATTATTTATGGCAGCGCTAGCTTATAATAGTTGCCAGAGAGAGCTAGGCATTGACTCGACTCTGAGTCCAGATCAAGAATATATATAGCTAATGGGGCTCTTTCAGACTGAAATACCTTTAGTTACCATTTTCATACATATACTAAATATATATATAAATATATTAAATAATATATATTTATAAATAGCTGAGGGTATATACATATATAAAAATATATATATATTTGATGTGTCAAATGCGACAGAGTTGAAAGTAAGAGCAGAACGTTTTGCTCAACGTTAATCGATCGTCAAGGCTAGGCTACTTAGACATGATCTCGCGCTCTTCGAGCTTAGCATGGAGAATTTAGGGATACGGCTGTCACTCAGGCCACAGTTGATAGGTGCATGAAATGTTTGAAACACTCCCAGATCCGTGGTAGTCCAACATTCCGATAAACTAGGATTCCCCTGACCACAGCGCTCGGCAACCGGCAATACACTGGACTGTTGAGCCACAAGCAGATAGCGTACGATTCTCATAAAATGATGGGGTATGCCAAGCATAGGCGATAACATAGTTTTCTAGGAACTACAATAATCCAAGTGAACCTATTTCAATAATTGAGCAAAAGCTTTCGAAGCTTTTTAAGGCGCAGAAGGTCGCAATAAACTTTATTTAAGATATGATAAGAAGTTGATTGCCAAATTTAATGATGCCGTCAGCCTACTATAGCCGTTGTTATCTTTCGAGCCTAGTGTAGATACCCTAAATCTCAGATTGATATCTATGGAGCTGACTGTGTACCATTTTGCAGCGCTGATGTACTCCAATGTGCGTCCTTTTATAACGCTGAGCTATGGCCAGCGACTGTGTCGCAGTCGTACGGCAGAAGGTTCGAATCCCACGTGGAATGAGCATCTGCAGCTGCAGCTCACGGGCCAACTGAGCGAACTGCGTGACGATCTAAAGATAAGCCTGTTCGACGAACTGATCGAGCAGCAGTACACGGATGAGGCGTCCGATCTCTACCAGCGCGTGCAGTGCAATTGGCTGGGCGAATATCGTGTGCCCATCAGCAGTCTCTTGACCAGTCGCAAGGTGAGTGACCAGATTGGCTCGATCATATCAATTGACACATTTATTTGCTCATTCAGTTCGAGGGCTGCATTGAGCTGTGCATGCCCAAGGTGCTGGTCGGCTACAAGCGACCGCTGATCGACTCCGTGACCAATATATCGGTCGAGCAATATCCGGAGTTCAAGGAGAGCGTGCATCTCTGGTTCTATCTGAGCGTTGAGCCCGGCAATCAGGTGACGCCCCTTCAAATTGGCGGCCTGGCATGCGCCGAGCTGCCGGAGCTGCAGCAATTTCTGCGCGAGCGACGCCTGGAGGTGCAGCAGCTACTGCCGCAGCCGCAGCGTTATGTGGAGCCATTGGTTTGCACGTCGCATGGCAAACGCGTAAGCCTGACGCGTCTGCTGGAGCCAGTGCCGCTGCCCAGTGAGACGCAGCTGGAGCGCATCTGTCGTTTTGTCTCCTTGCTGTGCCCGGTGCGCAGCACGCTGGACGCTTGCCAGAACTTTCAGGGCGTTTGGCTAGACAATCAAACGGTCCTGGATAGCACCTGGTGCTCTGTCAAGGATCTGGGCGTGCTGTTGTGCAACTATATGCTGTCCTTGGGCCTCGAGTGCTGGCTGCTGCTGGGACTGGCCTGCCCCTATGGAGAGTGCACCTTTGTCACCTACCGACATCCGGACAGCGGCGAGCTGTTGCTTGTGGCGCCCACCACTGGCAAACGCTACCAGCCACAGGATATCTTCTGCCCGCTAACGCGCGTGTATTCACTGGTGTCGGCACAAAACGTGAGCTGTGTGTTAATAATATATATATTTGTATATACGTGTAAATCTGTCTTTCGCTTAGATCTATATCAATATACAAGCGGAAGAGCGCGTGAGCATGACCAATTTTAATGTGCAGAACAGCGATTGCTGGTTGCCGGTGTTCAACAAGCGCCAGGAGGCGCCACAGTGCGGCATCCAAAAGCTCGACTATGTGTACAAGCGCAGCTACGAGCTGAGTCAGCTGCAGAAGCACATCGAGCGCAAGATCATGAAGAAGATAAGCGCCTGGCGCGCCACACGCAAAACGTTTTGGAATCGGTGGGTGACGATCGCTTGAAAGATAGCCAAAGCAAACTGCCAACTGACAATCGACTGTTTCTCTAGTGCCTTTCAGCCGCGCCTGCTGAGAATCTTAGCTGAAATGGAGAATCTGAGCACATTCACCAGCAATCGCTACGATGAGCCTGCCTTCAGTGAGGAGCTGGAGCGCGAATACCCCAACTTTAGGGTGAGTGGTGCTACACAATATTTAACTGGGAATGAGTTTGTTAATCTTTTCTTGTTTTTTTGTTTTTTTTTTTTTTTTTTAGCTTTATGGCTTCACCATAAACTTTGCCTACACCAACCTGTCGGCGATATCGGAGCGCATTCGCACTAGCTGCATACACTATAACAACAACGCAGCTGTCGAGTTCTGTGTGGCGGTGCATATCAACGCGTATGCGAACGATGTGCTATCCGTATGGGTGTTCCTGCTGTCAATAGTGCCACTGGTCGCCTGATTGATTGGCTATGAATCAATGCATCGAAAATAACGTCAATGGTTGCGTGACGCTTGCTTCAACTGATAACGTAGCCACATAAACCGCCTGTCTTCGTAGATAATGCCCAAACACTAATCAATAAAAACAAATTCTTTATCGCTGTACGGAAAGCGGGAAAGTAAGTATTTAACTCGATTTACAAACATTTTATGATAACGTTCCTTGTGGCGTGTTTGCGGCTTGTGGTTTGTGGTTTGTTTCTTTACCCGATTTGGCCAGGTTCATTTTCAGTTCAGTTTTAGTTCACTGCGCGCCTTCAGTGCGTTTAGATCGTGCACCGAAACTGGTACCATCGACTGGTATGGTATCGCCATGTCTACGAAAATAGCTGAGAAATATGCGAAATTCAAGCGTTATGTGCTGTGGCTCTATAGACTCTATGAGCTCAACACACAGATTGCAATCTGCGAGCCCTGGGAGAAAGTCTTTTGCCGTAAGTAGTTATTTCAAGAGTGCACCCATTAATCAGCGATTACCAATCGTTAACTTGATGGCTGCCATCTATTCACTCTCGCTCGCTCACTCTCTGGCACGAATTGGTATCTTATCTATTTCGGTCAGTATTTGCCCGTAGAGACTATGACTAACTGTTGCTTCATGGTGACATATACAAAAAAATAAAACTTAGGGCTTACTATTTACATTATTGTAATTGATATTATTTCTAATATATTTACAGACATACTTCTCGGCAGCTGTATCTCCCTTATTCTGTATGCCTCATATGCGTATGTGCCCGGCTATTGTCTAAGGCTAGTTGGCTTTCTAATTCCGCCGGTTGCTATAAATATAAGCGATACTTATAATCATATCAAATGTTCGGCAGCAGACGGAATGTGCAGTAGCAGTGAATCTTACCTTACGTAACAATATTAAGTAATTATAATTAATAAAACATAATAACCTATGGTAACAATTAAATTTACAACCTATTTTTACAACCATTTACATTGTACACAATACACCAGAACTCTTACTGCTGTTTCGATTAAAAAAAAAAAACAAATATATAATTATATGAAATACATTGAAGCATTGTGAATTTAATATTATAGAGCAGATACTATATTTACTAATTTAAAAACGATAACATTTAAAAAACGCGCGCATAAATTGGGCCAACACTGCCACCTGACTAAAAACATCTATAAGTTGGCAGCTCTGCGCCAAGCGTTGCTGCCAACTCGCTCAAAAAAAGCAATGCTTTTGCAGCAGCTGGGCGCATTTTATTTACAAAGGTAATTGAAAACATAAACGTTTATGTGAATAATGTCAAATGACAAACGGACTGTTTATGTTGGTGGGTTAGCCGATGAGGTCACCGAAAGGTTGCTGAATAATGCATTTATACCGTTTGGCGATATTGCGGACATTCAAATGCCGGTCGACTACGAATCGCAAAAACATCGCGGATTTGCCTTCATTGAGTACGAAAACTACGAAGATGCTGCCTCCGCCATTGACAATATGGTAAGCCAGACAATTTAGTTTATCAGATCAGACAGTATATGCCCACTTTATTTTAGAATGACTCAGAACTATGTGGCCGCACGATACGTGTCAATCTAGCCAAGCCGGTGCGTGTCAAGGAGGACAGCTTTAAGCCGGTATGGGCGGATGACGACTGGCTGCAAAAGCACGCGGGAGCCACATTAGAAGCGGAGGGCGAGTCCGAAGCGCCAAAGGATACTACAGAAACGCCATCAACAGGTCCGGCAGTGATTGAGAAATCGGAAAAACGAAATCCACAGGTGTTCTTCGATATACGCATTGGTGGCAACGACGCCGGTCGCATTGTCATGCTATTGCGGGCCGATGTAGTGCCAAAGACGGCGGAGAATTTCCGGCAGCTCTGCACGCATGAGCAGGGCTATGGCTACAAAGGCTGCACATTTCATCGTATCATTCCCGAATTTGTAAGTGGCAATTGGGTCTAAAGTCAAATTAGATTTATATCAAATTTATCGATATATGTATAATTGTATTCCAGATGTGCCAGGGCGGAGATTTCACAAATAACAATGGTACCGGTGGCAAATCTATTTATGGCAAAAAGTTCGCCGACGAGAATTTCAATTTGAAACACAACAGCTTCGGGACGCTATCCATGGCCAATTCGGGGCCCAATACAAATGGCTCACAGTTCTTCATATGCACCACAAAGTAAAGCTTTCCACCAGAAATAACTATTGGCATGCTACTATATCTATATGCATATTTTACAGAACCGACTGGCTGGATAACAAGCACGTGGTTTTCGGCCATGTCATCAGCGGCGCAGACGTCGTACGTAAAATGGAGCGATGTGGAAACAAGTCTGGCACCCCTTCCCAAAAGATTATCATTTACGCTTGTGGCGAACTCAAATGAATGGCTTAATAAATGCATAATTTTTAAAGTAGTTTGCTTTTTATTCAGTTATATTCACAAATTGCTCTTAAGAATTTAGTTGGCATCCGATTTTTGGTCGCAGCTGGAAAAGAAAAACCATAAATTAATATTTTATAATCAAAATCTAAAAATAATTCATCAATAGTAAGTTATCAGTCGGGAAAAGAAGACAAAAAACAAACAGCATGGTTTTTATTTCTCAGAATCAATTGAGGAGCTCATCATATTGAGAACTGGTAATTGAGTAAATATATATATAAAAAAGAAATTACCTTATTGAAACTGTCCTGAATATTGAAAATCGCAGATAGCCGCCAACTGCAAGTATAAAAAAAGCAAATTGTTAACAAATGTTGAATGAAGTGTTTCACAGCAATTGTTTTTAATTTTGATCAGTCAGGGAAAGATTGACCGCATGGTTTTTAATGGGTTCTACTCAGTAGAGGGATCCTGAATTAGGATAGTTCATCAGATCACATTTATTCCATGCTTAAAATATCTAGTACACACCTTGCACAATGCCCAGATTTGGATTCAATTACAGCCCGTCGACAGCAATACATTCAGAGCTGTAAATAAGGAAAATCATTTTAGTTTTTCGTAATACATATATATAGGACTAAAGTTATGATTTGTATTCAGTCGGGGAAAGTTGACCGCATGGTTTTTTATGGGTTCTACTCAGTAGAGGGATCCTGATATAGGATAGTTCATCAGATGAAAACAAATCATTGAATTGCAATACAAATAAATTAAACATACCTTAGCGTTTGAAATCCATAAAAATCGACATCACCAGCAGCTGCAAATAAGATGATAAAATTTCAGTATAAATTCAATTAATGCAACTTTAATTGATGAGTGTTAAAAATCAGCTTCAAAAATTTGTAACATGTTTGTTTCTAATGAACTATACTGAAGTATACATCATGAAGAATTTTACAAGTTTTTGCTTAAGCTATTGCCAAATACACACCTGGCTAAAGAAGGACTCAATGTAAGAGACCCATTCAGAGATATTCAACGATACACTGCAAATAAATAAAGGGCTAGATTAGATTTAAGTTAGAGTAAGATTCCAATATATTTAAATTTGAATTATATGATCAGTATCCTTTTGGTTTAATTTGTTTGATTGCTCAGCATAGTTTTCAGATTAAATTTTTCATCAAAATGAATTCTTACATAGAAAAAAATTAACAAAAAATATAAATATACCTCAATATATTGAGTTCTCCAATGCTTCCACAATATTCAAGCCGCCATTAAAAAACCTGATAATAAAAAGAGGTTTTAGCTATAAGAAATTGATAAATTGTATTCTAATAATTATTTCATATGCATATTTCAGTTTCAATTATGACTCCGCATTTTATACTCAGTAGAACGAAAGTTAGATTGAAAATTGTTTTTCATCATCTAAGAAACCGATTAACTAATGTAAAATAGGTTCAAACGTACCTTAGTGGCCCGCCATTGCATCCATTTACTTTTTGTTTGTTTATCTAGAACTGAAGTAGAAAGATACCAAAGATTAGTTAAATCTTTATATGAGCTTATATATTCTTTAAATTGCGTTTATAATTCAGTTGCAAATAATGCAGCCATCGGGTTTTTAATCACAAAAATCGTACGGTAATTACTTTCATCATTTTGAAAACACAATTAAAAAATATATTAAAACTTTTTGCTAACTTACCTTTTAAATATTGCGGTTTACAGCTCAACAACTTCTGCTTAACGAAATCCTAAAATAACAACAAATATTTATTTAGAATTCTTTCCAGTTAACTTTTGTAGTTATATAAAATATGCATCAGTTGCAAAAATTGCAGCCATGGGGTTTTTAATCACGGAAATCGTACGGTAATTACTTTTCATCATTGTATTATAATTTAAATATTTTTCAGATTAAGATAACTTACCATGCATCAAACGAGTTCGTTCAGCACTCAAATGTATCCAAGAGCTCTGAAAATATGAACAGAAATGAGGTTAGATTTCGCTTGCTATATATTAAACATGTTTTTAATTTAAATAAAAATTATCAGAATCCTTTTGGTTTAATTTGAAGTTATGAATCTTCAATACTTAGTTCAGATTGAACTTATCATCATAAGTAATACTGTTATTAAACAATTTTTCATATATTACCTTTGGGGTTTCCATTGCAGAAATCGGCTTACGAACGCGTCCATGTAACCTCATCTGTAATATGGAAATGCAACGTTAGTGTGAAAGAAAATTTTAATGTTAAGTTCAATTTCTAATTGAAATACAATTATCAGAATCCTTTTGGTTTAATTATAAGTTATGAATCAACAACACTGTTCAGATTAAACTTATCATCATTGGAAATTTATATATTTTCAGTTTCAACTTAAGGCTTACCTCAGTCGCATCCCTTTCAGATACCGGCTTCCAAGCACGTGTGCGTGCAACACAATGTGGCAGCTAGAATAGAAAAAAAAAATGCGTTAGTGTTCAAGGAGAATAACATTCCAAGGAATTAATATCTATATATCAATCAGTTGGCCGTTCTTATTCTTTCTACAAGATATGGATACTAGAAACCCTTTTGCAAGGGCACTAGCATCCGACTCTTCAGAAAAAGAACATTCATCAATAGAAGTTTATAATTTAATTTAAAGGCTGCGTTGCTTACCATTATTCATTTCAGATTTTACACAAAGCAAAGCAATGCCTATACTATTGTATAGGTCACATATTAACAAGTATTATAAAGTAACAAAATGTTTATAAAAATTAATGATGCTTTTAATAATTGCAGATTGGGACGAATGAGCAACTCAACCACAAAGCAACCGAACAGGAAGTGAACGAGACTCTATGGCTGTGTGACCATGATCATTTGGCATAAGTGACACAGCTAAAAAATACCAAAACTTCAAATTTAGATTTTTTAATATTTCAGAAAAAAAACTCAACATAAATAAGAAATTTAATTTGTTTTTTTTTTACTTGCGTAGATTTTTTACCTACTAATAGAGAATAAAAGAAAATACATGTTGCACAAATAATTTGTTAAATACCATTCTTTTAAGTCTGTGAACAGTGAACGTTAGCATTTCGAGTGGAAATTACGATTGAGAAAAATTGACTCATTTAGCATGAGGGGAAATATTTTATTTAAACAACATACCTATTGAGTAATTTTTTCTTAACAGAATGTTAATTGCAACGCATATCTAACAGAGTAGATATATAACCCAATCAAAACTAACGTAGATAAATAGCCAATAAAAAATAAGCATTGAATATTGTATTAAAAATGACGACTTTATTAAATTTAGCATAGCTCATTGAATGCCTTTACAACAATATATCAAGTACAATACACATATTTTATAAAATTTATATCGACTTTTGTTCAATCGAAAATAAATGCCTGCAGAGAGACTCCGTTTCACATATATTATTGTTTTTCAACTTAAAAGGCATTTTTGTTTTCTTTTTTTTTTCATTTAAAATTTCAATAAAATCTATCACAATAAGAGAATTTCAGGACGTGGTATTGCTCGATTGTGATAAGATTATAAAAAATTGTATGTATTTTCCGAGTCATCGAGCACAACCATTTCCTGTTTCTTGATATTTTGTTAAATATATCTGTAAAGATATACTTTTTTTTTGCTGATTAATAAATTTTTTCTGTGTAAAATTGCTTTCGGATTCCGCATTATGCTTAAAATTGTACTTAGATATTAAACATTTTAGATACAATTACATATAAAAATATATTATAGTTATTATTTATAAAAAATTCGAATTTGTTACGGACGGACAACATCTTAAACGATAAACATAAACATATAAAATGCTGATTCTGCTTTAAAATACATGCAAGCAAGTATAAATTTATTTTAATGCTTAGTTTAAATATTTACTTTACATTTAAGGCCTAAATATAGGCATATAAATTGATTGTTATTTTTTTTTTAATTTTTCTTGTTTTTAAGGCGTGTTTTATAATTATTTGTGCGTTATTTCCATCTTTATTAAGGGCTGCTGTTTAAAGGGATCTCAGTTCGTACGAAACAGCCTCATTTATGTTTAACCGCAGAACTAAACGTTAATACATCATTTTAGATTGCTTAAATCTAGATCGTATTATATAATATTACAAAAATATATTTCCTTATATTCAATTCCTTATTGAGTTTTATATTAGATACAATTTATATTGCATTGCTTAGCCACAAAAACAGAAAGTTTATAATTAAATAGCATATTGTTGCATGCGCATAGAAAAACTATAAAGAAAATAGAAAAACTTTCAGTCTAACAAAATACTTGTACAGAATATAATCGTCTGAATTTCGAGAAAAATATTTGATTCATGGGTGGGTTCAATATTTCTGGGCATGACCAAAAACTTTTGTTCAATAAAACATAATAGCCAATTTTTGTGTAGCCCGATTCTGTTTTCTACATGTTGATATGCAATTGTTTAAGCTCTACGTTTTGCACTTACAAATTATACTATCAAATAAACATAAACAGACGTGCCGCCGCCTCGCATTCAGGCAATGCCTTTACTTTACTTGTAGCGCACGACGCTACGCTTAAGTGATAAATTAAACTAAATCTTGACAAAAAAAGTAACTAAACATAAGCACAACAGTTTCGGATGCGCCAAGACGCGTTTCAAACGCGTCAATAAAAAACTGTTGATACGTCCAATCGGGGCGGGGTTAGGGTTACTACAACTAACATCAACATAAACAACGAAAATTCGACTAATTTTGTGGTAAACTGGCCATCAAAAAAACTGATGATGTTTCCCAACTCATATATAAGTGCGCTTCACTTTTGTCAGAGTGGACGTTTTGCAAGGCAGCTCCTTTTCCAAATGTTCTGTAGAATTTTTGCATTCGTGACTGCGATCTTTTTCAAGATCCAGATTCGGTGTTTTCTGTGTCGTGGTATATGGATTCGAATTGATTAGCAAATTAATGTCCTTGCCGCTGTTCTGATGCTTGAATTGACTGCGATAAAAAAGAAGCAGAAATGGAATAGGTTAGTCTGCGCAGATAGTCTGTGAGTCTATATTTAGTTCTTACATGGGTTTGCCAAAGTGATTGTGGAGACTGGCATCTAGTCGATTTTGATTGCACCACTGCTTTATTTTGATGCCCACCATGCCACCCAAAAAGAATGCCATAAACGACACTACTGCAATGATAAAAATTGTGTTGCTTGTAAAGGCCGAAGCCTTCTGTAATTCATTGACAACTGCTATCGATTTCTGGGGATCTGCAAAGAGTTAGCTAAGTTAGATAACGGAGGACAAAGTGTGACTGGCTCACTTACCATGCAGGTTGGTCATAACTTGTTCCGGATCCACGGAAGCCTGCGGTATTTTGTTCTCATCAATATAGTCATTAAGTGCAAAGTCGGCACCGTTGCCTGTTGGCTGCTGTTCTTGGCTTGGCTGTACCTCTGCTGGTGCACCATTCACACTGGCATAGTGGAGCTTCTGCACCTCTTCCATTTGCGATGGGGCCATGGTAACAATAACGGGATCTGCGGCAGTTTTCGGACACAAATACGCTGCTGCCTTTTTGGTCGTATTCAGACTTTGCAAATAGGTTTTGGTGCCGAACTTGTGTTGGCTTGCGAGCAGATTCTTGCACTCGTGAGTCTGCAGATCCCAGGCACAGTTAGGGTCCTGTAGGCTGAGGCAGCCCAGGCAGTCTACAATCAATGAGCAGTGATGCAGTGGCACCGTTACCAGTCGTCCATCGCTGACCACGACGAGCGTGTTCTTTTTGGAAGAGATAACCAACTCGCGGACAGGTGTGCCCAGTGGCAAGACCTGCATTTCAGAGATGACCACTGTACGCAAGCGAGCGATGCTGGTGTTCTGATGGGTTGTCAAGGTGATGAACTTGGTCACTTTGCCGTCATCGGTGCCACTGTAGATAACATCATAGTGGTTGCCATTCAGCGCACGCACATGCGGATCCACCGCAATAGCCGTGAGCCGATGATGCAGATTAACCTTGGTTAGCAGTGGGCGGCCATGCATTGCAGGCACAGCGCTCTCCATCAGTGGATGATTCTTTATGAAGTTCACTGCAATACTTGTCAGAGTGCGAGAGTCATCCACACACTGGCCGGGACGCGGTTTGGGCACCTGTAATTGTTCCACGGGCAGCCAGTGTGATTGTGAGTCCTTTTGTGACTTAAAGGCCCCATCAAAGGCAGCCAATATGTCATCCACGCGATAGGCACACACCGCCGAGCCAGATATGGCGTTCACCGGCGTGGTAAACACTGCGTAAACCAACGCATTGGGGCCGCTGTCCACAACCGGACTTATAGCCTCTGTTTGGGTAAATATAATGAGATTCAAATAATGATGTCATATCAATTTGTCAAGAGTGGGTGTATTAGCATATCGGCACTTACGTATCTCATCAAAGTAGAATGGAAACTCTCCAGGTACCGAGCAGTTGAGGCGAGTTTTAAGGAATGACGTCCAGCTTTTGGCATGATTGTAGGGTCCGCCGCGATCGTTCTTGCAGACACGACCCACACGAGAATAGACCGCTTTGCCGAAGTTCATAAACTCCATGGAGAGTTCACGGAAGAAGAACAGCACGTAGCCATTGCGTTCAATGGCGCCCACGAAGTCTGGCTGATTGAGCTGCTTGAGATCATACTGCTCGGTGCGCAGATTCTCGCGATAGATCAAAGGATCCCCGCCAGAGAAATCAGCAACAGTGGCGCTATACAGCTGCCCGTCGGCAAACACATAGGTGCTGTTGTGAGCGGGACTGTACGGACAGAGACCCTGGGCCTCCACATCTCGCGTCATCTCGTACAACATGCTGTTGCCGCTGGCCGCGCTGGCACTCGCATCAGTTACTTCTGCCGCCTGATCCACGGTGGTGTAGTGACGACAACGCGGCTTGTACGAATTGGTGCCACAGAGCAGAATTTGACCATTGGGTAGTCGGGCGAAGACCCGCAAATAGTTGTGACAGTCCCATTCGTGTTTGCCTTTCAGCATGCACAGCTCACGATCGGCACCCGAGCTGCGCCACTCTAGCCGGCTGTTCTCCTTCAGTCCCCGCAGCGTGATATTGTAGATGACGTCCCTGCAAAGACGATAATCAAATTATTTACTTAATTGCCACGCCTGCCCGTCGTGTCACGTATGTGTGCAGCCTGCTAATTTAGCTAATTGCCAAGCAAGCCAAAATAAATGAGCCACACACACAGACACGCAGCCAAGCCAAGTGAACATCAGTTTGCCAAGGTTGTTTTCGCAAATAATTAGAACTCAGAAACGTTGAATCAAGTACTTAAATATGCAATTGCGTTTTAATTGTCATCATTTCATTTATATTCATGCTATATTTCTAGTTTATAGCTAATTTAAAGACAAAGCCTGGAACTTGTTTCTGTTTTTAGCCGGGCAGAAATTCATTTTCATTTCCTAAAATATGTTTAGCCTTGGCGCTATTTGAAACTAAGATTAATGTATACCTTGTCTTTGAAATCCATATTTTTAGTAGTAAAAAGCTTTTATTAAAGGTGACTAATTGAATTATATGTACGCTTTAAGCATACTACTAAACTTAAGCTCTTTAATTACCCCCATCATAATTAATCAAAATTATTTGTATTTATATAAATCTGTTGCTTTTGTTTGTAATTTCGTACAGTTGGCTGTCTGGATCTGGTTAATTGCACTTTAGCATGTTTCATTTCAAGCGAATGCTGAATAGAATTAAACGAAAATAAACATATTTGCTTGCTGATATGTGTATATGTACTTGATTCCAGGAAAGCGAATGAGAAATGCAAGATTTGCACTTGGATATCTAGACGTACAAGTAGAAGTATAAATATTATACATATATATATATATATATATATATATATATATATATATATATATATATATATATATATATATATATATATATATATATATATATATATATATATATATATATATATATATATATATATATATATATATATATATATATATATCTGTATATCTGTATACTAATAAATTAACACATATCTCACCAACAGTAGCTAGGAGAAATAAGAACTAACACTCGTAATGCCAATGGCGCGTTAATTATGCCGCAAACTGAACAATTTTCTAGCTTATTTTTATTTATAAATATTTAAGTTAGCTCGTGCCAGTAAAAAAAATGCTTGTTTTCGCATGCAGCTCAGGTAGAGAGGAATTGATTGTTTTGCTAATTCGTATATGGCAATGCGCGAGCGAAAACCTTCAGGCACTCAAAGTCCATATGCACCTGTCGAGCAAATAAGGCATGCGATGTACTTACTTGGCACCCACGAGCACACTCTCATCATTGTAATCCAAAATCTTATAATAGTCCGTTGTGTTGCCAAAGAAACTTGCCGTCACTTTGTCTGGCTCTGCAAATCAAAATGAAAGTCAATTAATATATGAATTATTTGATTGTGAGTATGATTTATAGGGCGAAAGGAAATATAGAATTTATATGATTTCCTACTAAAGTTTTCCTACTAAAAGATTAAACTAACTAGACTTGAAACCAGCACAGTTAGCCTAAGCTTCGCTACTCTACTAAAATATATTTTGCTTTGATTTTAATTGAAAATATTATTCTGTATATGTTTAATTTACAGATCTGAGCATATGTGTTGTTTGATATTTTCAGCTCTATACACAATTTTCAATTGTGAATTGTATCTGTTAAGGCTCTCCATTATCTTACATAGTTATTGATGGTATACATTTAGAAATTAACTACAAATTGTATAGAAAATCCTGAAGTTAGAGGCTAACCTTTAAAAATTTTTATTATTTAATTTGTCGAAACAAATTCACACAAATGCAAATGCTTAGTTAGAGCACTTGGAAGGTAAATGCGAGGAAGCTCAAGAAAGAGTTCTTAATCGATCAGCAGCAAATGCAACCCGAGACTCGCTGGCTCCAATAGCGCCATAAGTTAAGAACATATAAGAAATCGAATCTAATCTAATAGAGTTTTTCTCTAATTAATCAATCAGAAACAATAATTGTACAAATAATAAACTTCTGCCTAATTCTAATTGAAAAATTTCTTTAAACAAAACATTTGCTTTGACATTGAAAGTTCTTAAAAAATTTAAACAAAAATTAAAAGACTTTAAGTAACGAAAGCAGCTGAGTTGCAAAGTTTTGCAGCCATTAGAGTTCATTAGAATAATTGGGCGTAATGAGATGGCCCATTTTACAAGTTGCTTCAGAGGAAACGCTAATTTGTTGCAAGCATTGCGAAAAATTGAGCGCGATAAGCAGCTCAGCCAGCCCAGCCAGCCCGTCGCTGGTTACGAATGCTGATAAAAGAGCGGCCGAGCGAACACATAAAGAAACAAAGAACAAAACAGCAAAACAAACAACAAGTGGCACAAATAAACAACAATAATACATGGCATACAGTTTACAATGTAACTGTAGGCGAACTTGGAACTTACTTGCTGGTAAATCGGGCCGCACATCGGGCATCCAAGCACCGACAACAGTGAAGAAGCAGAGGCAGATGCATGTACGCAACTTGACATCTGTTACGATGCCACTGTGTGGATATCTTCTCCGGTCAGTAATTAGCATTGTTGCTGCCACAGTTGTTGACGTTGTACGCTGAAGGTCTCTTGACGTGTTCTTTAGCTGCGCACTGACAGCACTTGCTAGAATTAAAGTCTTTTCAATTGACGTAGCGCACTTGAAATTCTGTTGAGCCTGGCTTTTTAGTCAATTCTGATGATTCAGCAGCGTTTGCCACTCGCTTGGGGTGGTGCAGCTGCTACACTCGCAGACTGAGTGACTCGCTAGCTAAATGGCTGGCTGGCTAGCTGGTTGGCTGCTGGTGCCAATGGGGCTGGCTGGCCGTGCCTGGCCTGACTGGTTTTAATCACTGCAGTTTGTCATTCTGATTGCTGCCATATCGTGCCAGTTGCCTCTGTAGTTGTAGTTGCTGTTGCTGCTGCCGCTGCTTATTTACTAGCATAGCTCTTGCATTCAGCTTTCTGCGGCGTATACTAATTTTCACTGAGTTGTTCTTCTCTTGTTGTTGATTTCTTTATTTATATATTTATTTTTTGGTTGTTTTCTCAATGCTATTAGTTGATGTGCTCAAAAGAAGAAAACGCAAAACCTGCAATGAGATGAAAAAGATTGTTGGTTAATTCGAAGACTTTTTTGCTCTTGTGGAATGCTTGGCATTTCACTACACCTGGCTGTTGTTTGTGGTCGAGTAGTTTGTAATATGGGTCTAATAGGCTATAATCATTGCTACTTTTTTTAATATGATATGACATACTTTAGATAGGCGAGTAATTTAGTGGTTCTGACTAAGGTTTTTAGTGTTTGATAATAAAATATATATTGTTTCGTATGACGAAGATGCTGATTATAGCTCTAATAAGCATCTAGGTCAGTTGACACAGCTTCAGTCACTTAAATCCTTAACGAATCGCGCGCATCACGATTATAATCTATTTTTAAAATTAAGCTACATCCGCAGTGGCCAACCTTTTTGCAACTTAAATAACAATTATTGTATGAAGATCTCTCCTCTCTGTTCATGTGTCTAATTATCAAAATGTATTTATATTTTTCTTTTTTATTATTAGATAACTCTATATAGTTTTCACTCTAGTGTTGAATATTATTACCAAATAGAAACGTTAATTTCACTTGTGTAACAATCAAACTTGTTTCGGCGCATTTGTTAATGCGATTGTTTGCAAATTCTTCACACACATTTCACACTTTCTATGAAAACGCTTTAAAATCGACCAAGCCGAACCGCACGTTAGGCCAACTCGTCGAGCACTGAAACTGATGAACACAACAAAATTGCCAACTGAGCGAACAGCAAAACACAAAAACGGAAAAAACAACAACAGCCATAGTAGCGTCAGCAGCTATGGCAAGGCAACAACAATACAGCTTACGCCTACAATCGTGAGTACAGTTTGAGAGCGACTTCAAAATAGCTGAGCACCGTTTTAGCAGCACTGCACTCTGCTCTCTTTGTATAAATCTCCCTCTCTGTCTGTCTCTCTCACACTCTCTCTATTTGAATGCTCGCTTCGGTGCACCCCTTAAAGTGTCACGCACCGTTTCATGTGTCCTGTGGCTCAGCGGTATTTTGTATGATTCATAGTTTTGTGAGTTTTTCCTGTTTTTGTTGGAAATCACGTGCAGTATTTTCCGCTGATTTTCCTTGTCAGCATTTGGTGTCTAATCAGTTAGATAGACAGAGGTTTTCAATATATCAGAACGTGTCGTCCTGCAAATGCTGTTCATCACACGTTCACACACACGCACCTACACGCACACACACACACTCGCACACGCGTAATTTCCATGTGTGGGCCTCAGGTTTTTTTTTATGACGATCGCAGGGGAAAAGGTGGAAAAGTCTGCTACAGTTTCTCACGCCTCGTCGTCAGTCACACTTGGACAACTTTTACCTACGAGGGGCGACGGCGATGGTAGATGATCTTCAATAAATTGCTTTATTGGCCAATTGAAGGTCACACTTGTTGTCTTGGTCAATGAATTTGTGTGCTGTCTGCTGCTGGTATCGTCTTACCAGCTTGAAGGTTTGCAGCCAGCGGCGGCAGGTCGAGTGACCCGTCTGACTTTTGGCCCATTCGGTTTTGTAATATGTGCGGTAAATGTTAAAAATATAGGGGTCCGCAATTAACCTTAAGAATCGTATAAACTATATGCGAGGGATGCTTGAAATGTAGTTTCGCTTCGGTCTCAAGAGAGCAGAGAAACGGAACAAACTAAATAAATATAGCTAAATGTAGTATAGCGATCGGTATGAGAGTTTCATAACAAGTAACGTTTAGTAATGCTTTGTAAATAAATAAATAAATTATCAAGCTCAAGATCTGATTGTATATGAATGTCTTAATGAAACAATAAAGATCGCAATCAGAGAGCTTGGTTTAGTTATGGGTAAAGAGATATAGCAGAGTTGATATACGATAGTTTTCTTATCCTATGTCTGATAATAATAACATAATAGATCAACGGACCCAAGCTGATTTTTATAAAGATAGATTTCAACTCGATTTGTATTTGAAGAGCTTTGTTTCTACTTTTACACATTTCTACACTTAATCTAAAGCAAGCGTTACAATACTGCCTTCTTTACGTATGAAACGATTGAGCTTCAAGGTTTTATTCTTTTAATAGATAAACAAAAGAAGCGATCAATAAATCTGTTGCTGGAAAAAGAAAGGCTTTGACATATTTATAAAAACGAAAACAACACAGCTGAAATGGGTACAGCTGAATAAATTAGTGAGTCTATTTAGTTTAGAGCTATAAGAAGATAGCTTTCTTCATTTTTAGTTCAGTGGAAAACAGCTTATTCAAATGTATCATTTTCTTGAGCTGCCCTCGGTATGCGTACATAAAACATATATCATATATGAATAAGTATTAAATGTTTTGTTTCTGTTAAGCTTCGAGTTTCATAAGCCACATTTAGTTCAATGCCAGGAAGTGCGTTCCGCTTTCGACAGACCAGTTACAAAATGCTGAGTCTACGTATTTATATGCTACTAATTAATAAGCTCAAATGTCAGTTAGCATCTATCTATCGGTCAGTCTGCTGATGTGTCTGAGTGTCTGAGTACAGCTGCCGCTCGCTCGCTGGCTCGTTCGACTCGTTTCACACTTTCCCGGTTTTTTCTAGCTGATAAGCATTCACAGATGGGTGTTTGTCTGACTTCTTCTAGTGCTTCTTCTTTTGTGATGCGCAGATAAACAGCTTGATCAAGATAACGGTGAAATGTATGTCACGTCTGACGTCTGCAGCGGCTATGGCTGCAGCCGTTGCTGTGGGAAGCGTGAGCGTGTCAATAGATAAATCGGTCGAACGCTCTTTCAGTACGTGCTCCATAATTAAAATTGATTTCTGTCTATAAATATTAGATATAGCCAAATGTAGTACCACCAGGCACTCATAGATTGCACATATATCTACACATATATTAGCTGTCCACGCTGGAAACCTGATCTCCGAGCTGCTGCTGTTGCTATCATGCAACCTGTTTGGCAAGTGGGCGTACAGCTAGTCAATACGTAGATCCAAAAGCTAGCAGGTGCTAGCACCTGCGACTTTGCCTTTGCCTTATAGAGAGATTCAGTGGAGTCCGTAGACTGACTGACTGGGCAATGTCTGTTTCTGTTGCTGTTTGTGCTTCTGGTTCCAGGTCTGGTTCTGAAGCTGTTTTGCAATCTTTAAGAGTTTGCATATTTCATTAGCTGTTTTGTAATCTACAGCAACTGAGCATCAGGTTCTAGCCAAAGTTATGACTGCTCAAAGGTATACCCTGTATAGTTCTGTATATTTTAGTTTTACAAGAAACTTCTGTTTAGATTTATTGGTATTAGTTTCATGACTGATAAGTCTACTTGCTTTTTAAATTTCTTGGTATTGGTTTCAATATAGTATGGCAGACGATCGAACAGACTCGCTTCTAGAGCCGCAATAAAGTTTATTCGGAAAACAAACAGTACGGATATGGCTTAATATAGTTTATACACTTGATACTGCAGTAAAGTTAATTTTGTTTGACTTCAGTTATAAGTTATAATAAAATTAACAAAAGTCGAACGTGTTGTAAAGTTCATATTTGTTGTTATCATATATTATACATACGTACATATGTATATATGAATACAGTTTGTTTACTGTCTGAATTTATTCCAATAACTGATTAATTCAATACAGCTAAAGAGCGTCTTTGTTGCCGCTGCGTTTTCTTGTCTTGTTGATAGTTGCTTACTTTATATTTTATTATTTTTCTACTACGTTTTTTAAATGAAAAGAGCATATTAGTTTTGACTGTGGATAGTAAAGTAGCAGAGGCTTGAAATTTTGATATATTGTTGGGCTTATATAAAACACATTTTCTTATATATTCTAATGTTTTAGATAGTGCTCAGTTATAGCATACTAAAAGGCCTCTCGCTATGCATATTTAAAATTGAGACAATTTATGAGCTCATTTAATGATAAGTTCACAACTGAAGTCGTAAAAAAGTGGGAAACTAAATATACCCCGATAAATTACGGCTGGCAACTTGGCTCGACGCTCCTGTTAAACAGTGTAGGAGTATTACGGCCGTCAGTCGCACATGACTGCAATATTCTTACTTGCTTTAGTTGTGCCTTCTTCTTATCATTAGTTCAGTTCAATGCACTTTCGAGTCTTCACTTTGCTTTTCACATCACTTATCCATGGGACAATCGTGGGGACTGGCTGCTTTACTTCCGATTTGGACCCAACTCCTACATGATTCAGATACACACACGCACGCAAACACACACACACAGTTACACACATGCATAGATATGTATATTGTGTATCGTAGTTAAACCAGTTTAATTAAGAAGCGATACTCAGTTTGGTTTCAGCGGAAGCGTAGATGATTCAGAAGCGCCTACCATTCAAAGTGTAACAACAAATGAGCTCTTAATAGTTTGAACAAAATAGAGCTTCGAATACGTATAAGGCGTGATAAGTTTTTCATTCACTAAAAAACATATATATATATTAATAATAATAGTATAGCTAATGGCGCGTAAAACGAGCGTGGGAGTTACTATTTATGATTTTTTCAGTTTTCTGTTTCGAGTTGACAGTTTTCAAACGCGTTTATAAATCAAACAACAATATCACATATTTACACAGTTGCATTCACGCACACAGATGCATTTATGTATCTCTGTGAATGCGGAAGAAAGAGAGAGGGATGGGGGGAGTTGTATTTTTTGAGGTTAAGTGGGACACAGCGCGTTCCACTTTGGGCTGCTGCCGTTTTTGACACTTTGACTCTGAGTCGAATTTGTTGTTGGGTATTATTTCTCTTCGCTTGGGCGTTACTTTTCTTGCCACAGTTCTTTGCATTTACATTTGAGCAATTGTTTACCGTTAGTTTTTGATATGCGTTTAAGCTACCACTTCCACTTGCTCCCGAGCTCGACTTATTGAAGGCGCACAGTTTGTAGAACGACGCGAATTGATTATGCTGCTAATTTATTAGATTTTCTACTCACAGCAACAACTGCTAACTCGTTTTTCTGCTGCTGCCTTTTACAGTTCTTAGCCAGACACTCACACTTGGGCCACCGCCTCGACCACTGTTTGGAGTGAGGGGCAACAAGTCCACAAATTCACCTGTAGCTGTGTAGCGAGTCGTTTAGTTTGTTGTTTTTTATATTATCTCTTTCTGCCTCTCTCCATCTCAGTCTTTCGCTTCTGTTCGAGTTGGCTGCTTGGCCACCACTTTAGCACTTGGCTAGCTGCTGCTTCGCCTTCGACTACTACTTGCTGCGCTGTTTACAGCGTTGCACGCATACACACAGTCACACACACACTCGCGCACTTTTACAATTTATGTATTTTCTTGTATTACTCGTTTTTAAGCTTATGCTGCTTCATGTTTGGTTTGTTTAGATGTGTGTATACATGTGTGCTGCTGCTGCTGGTTGTTGTTGTATGTGCATAAATTAAAAGAGAGAAAAACACACGTCTGTACACAATAAAAACCTGTTTGTTGCTTGACTCTAGGTGTGGGTAAACGCAACGCGGCGCGGCGCGGGGGTTGGTACGCTTGAGTTGGCTTGTAGTTTTTTTTGTAGTAAACGCAACAGCAGTCACATTAGCTTTGATTTAAAAGACAAATTTTACACAGAAAACTCGCAATTTAGCAATTTTTTGCAATATTTATGCATTTAGTGCATTCTTTAGACGCCACTAAACTCACCAAAATTCATAAAAAATGTT